TGTGACGTTCACGGCGACATTTAACATGTGTAGCGCAATTGTCCTTTTAGCACATAGACGCACCGACGCGTGTTTGCTCGTGGGGGACAGCGGTGGCAGCGGTGCCTGGAGAAGACAACGGCAGCCGCGGTGGAGGGGGCCCTGCCGCACGGTACAAATGATCCGGCGCCTGTACAGACGCTGGATTGCTTGTACATTAACATCCATCGCCTGCTGTTAAAAGCAGTACCAAGAACTCGGCTGCTGCGGCAGCCGTGTACTTGTTTTAACCACTTTAACGGGCCGCCATCTATAGACTATTGCGGCCTGGAAGTGGTTAAATAAAAGATTGTTTTGTTTATTATAATGGCTTATTTTTACAACTCACATTATTTAAAATCCATGAGCCTAATTAAAATGCCTAATATAATACATACAATTATTAAAAAGACATGTACATATCTTTTTAAGAATTGTATGTATATAAATAAAAGGTGGGAAGTCATTTTAAGTTTCGGCCTGACAAATATTGCTGCAGGAGCTGCGTTGAAGTGCCATTCATTTCAATGGATCCCAAATGCACCTCCCGTCCGCAGTGTGATCGCCCGCACTGGAACATGCGGTACTGAAATGCCTTCCTTTCTTGTGCGATATTAATTTATTTTTTATTTTATCCGATTAACCAAAGTTAATAATCGGCTAACTAATCGATTATGAAAATAATCGTTAGCTGCAGCCCTAAGGAGTAATATTCCGTAATAGTAAAGATCTGCACCATCTATATTGCTTTCAGTCTGCTGCTGAGGTGGGCCAATGTTCTATCGAAAGCTCCAACTTATCGAGCTCTCCGACTGGTGATGTCACATCCGGTGACTACCAGTAGGAGATCTAGACCAGATGGAGCTAGTGCACATGGCCATGGAATCGTTGCCGAATTATCTAACTATTGACACTGCGCGGCTATCGGCTCATTGGATTCTATAACCTAGTACAAATTTACATCTGCCGTAGGTTATAGGAGCCGATAGCGGCAATGGCGACTGTGACTATCTGCTCATCAGATTCTATAACCTACTACAAAAATATATTTGCCATAGGTTATAGGAGCCAATAGCCACAGTCGTACTGCACCTGCCCGGCTATCGGCTCATCGGTTTCTACAACCTAGTACAAAGTTATATTTGTCCTACGTTATAGAAGCCAATAGCCATGCAGGGGCAGTGTCGAGTGTGGTTATAGAATTTGACGGCGCCACGCAGGTGCAGTGGCAATAGTTAAGATTTCGAAAAGGATTCCATGGGCATGCGCACTAGCCCCATCTGGTGTAGATCTCATACTGGCAGTCACCAGATGTGACGTCACCGGTCGGGGAACTTGACAAGTCAGACCTTTCGATAGAACACCAGACGTCTTGATCATAATTCTTGGATCCTGATTGGTCTTTCTACACCCAATGGCTTTGCTGTCAGGAATCTGATTGGCTGCCTTATAGCATTAGTCGGCCAGCGTACCCTGTGCATTAGTTCTGATGAAAGGGGCATGTCCCAGGAAACGTATCAACGTTCGCTGTTACAGCTGATGTCGTTGTCTGTGAACTCCGACTGAGCAGTGGCAATTGTCTGGACCTGGTCATTAACCTTTTATCCCTGGATTCAATCGAATAGCGCATACTATCGCTACATTTGTGAAAAGCCATTTGTTGTTTTTTAAATTATCGAATAAACATTAATCAGTACTGCACAAGGTGGGAGCTCTTTCTGTGTTTGTTTTTCCATGTGTGGATGAGAGCTTTCCGATCTGAGGAGCAGCACCCTTGGGCTAGACTAAATGATGACTGAGTTAGTTGCTGGCTCTGAGCGCAAGATACATCTTTCTTTTGCTGGAACACCCAGGGATTAAGTCCTAGTTTGTACAACTTTATACATCATGATGTGAATCTGTATTATATGCTTTTGCTGAAATAAAGATAGGCTATGTCCACCGTGGTACATAGTGTTAGGAGCTGCAGCTGTTAGTTTGCCTACCTCCAGCAACACCGCACGGCCACTCCCCTGGAGCATCAGCGCTTTCTGGGTATCAGGCCAGCCCTGGCAAGATCCCTACACTTCCATTGGGTGATGGAACCCTGCTCAGGAGGTGTCCAAGCACTGGGCTTGTGATGGTGTTTAGCTTCCTGGCTCCTGACCCATGTCCTTGTGCCCAGCCTTGTCTGATCTGTTCACCCTGTTATTGACCCTTGCTTTGGATACTACTACTCTCTTGGATTGCAGCATGTCCTGACCTCTCGTCTGGATAAGGACTTGGACATCTCTCACGGTACGCATTCACTCTTTCATGTGCATTATTGGGCGATATCTTTTGTCCTGAAAATATAGCTCTTGCTTTAAACCCTGGGGGCATCTGCTTACCGGTAGGCATACTATGTATTAAGACAAAGGTGGCTGCTATAGGTGAAGCTGTGCATCTGCCGAGTTCTTTTCACAGAACTAGACACAAAACTAGTATCCCTGACACATAGTTAGCCAGGTTAAAAAAAAAAAAAAAAAACAAGTCCATCGAGTTCAACATAGTCAAAACATTAAATAAGTTTAGTCTGGCATGATATGCCCTCAGTAAAACCATACTAGTTACATAGTTACATAGTATTTGAGGTTGAATAAAGACATTAGTCCATCAAGTCCAACCTATTAGGATCTCATTCTAGGAGTACCTGTACCCCTGTATATTACGGTCCCTTAAGAAATCGTCCAAAAGTTTCTTGAACAATTCCACATTCTTTGCTGAAATCACTGTCTGTGGCAGTGAGTTCCAGACCCTAACTGATCTTACTGTGAAGAACCCCCTTCGCCCCTTGTGCTGGAATTTTTTTTCCACCAATTTTATACTGCTTTGGATTTAGCAAGCTGTCTTAGAACTCTGGAATGAATATTATCTGGACCCATTGCTTTATTAGGCTTTATGCAAACTAGTTTGTTTGCTGCATTTGCTCTACAAAACCTGAAAATTAAAACTGCAGTGCTAGAACTATTGAGATCCCCCAACCTGTTTTCATTATTGACATCTACTTCTGAGAAGACTGAACAGAAGCAATTTATAAAAATTTGTGATCCCACCATTTCTGTTTTTCCCGTCACTGATATACCCAATAAAAAATGTTGTCTCCTTTCTTAATGTATTTATCCTGTTCTTTCTGCATTTTAGAAGCACCGATGGTGTGTTTGGCCTCCTCTGTTTTTATACACTTCTATAACAGTTATATTTTGGGGTCTATTCACGAAGCAGCCGAAGGATCTAGCCACAGCTTCAGCTGATTCTTCGGCTTTCTTCGGCCCCAGGACCCCTTCGGTTCAGTAGAACCGAAAGGCTGCTGTATGGACTATTCACTATAGCCCGTACAGCTCCCGAAGTGGGCCCGGGCGGCTCAGTTGAGCTGAAGGCACAGGCCTCGGCTCGACTGAGCCGAGGTGAAAGGCGAAGCTGGCCGACTGCCTGCTTCTGACAGCTGGGCCGTTGGCTGCCGTCAGAATAAAAGAAAAAAAAACCCCACCATAGGAATACATAGCTAGATTCCTATTGGCTATTTCAATTTGCAATAGCAAACTAGCTATTGCACCCGCCCACTGCTGCTCCATCAGGTCCCCTCTAGTGATTGACAGCAGCAGAGGGCGGCTGCAATAGCTAGTTTGCTATTGCAAATTGAAATAGCCAATAGGAACCTAGCTATGCATTCCTATGGTGAATTTTTTTTTTTTTGACGGCAGCATAACCGCCCGGTCAATAGAAAACGGTCAATAGAAAACTGAGCATGTTCGGCCGACCCGAAGCCACCTGATGTACGGCTGAAATCAGCTGTACAAACCTGAAGTGAATAGCCGAACAGCATTGGGTCGGTTGTTCACTCGGCTGCCTACAGCAGCTTAGTGAATAGACCCCTTTGTGTTTCTTTGTATAAATAAAAGGTTGATTTTTTTTCTCTCCTTTGATATCCTACTTACCTCCATTGCAAACCATTATAGTTTTCTCCTAATTTGTTTTGAGATATAATCTAGTGGCCTCTAGGATGATCGACTTTAATAGTGCTCAGTGAGAATGGACTCATGCCGTTTTATACCAACCTTTTAGTTATTAGTAAGTCCCCCGATATCAGCAAAGTTCTGTTTTTGTTAATGAATACTCAGTTTTTGTGGTAATGTCAATCAAAGGCACTGGTGTTTACTAGAACCCAAATATTTATCTCACCTAAGGCTGAAACACTGTCGGCCTTTTTTTGCGACAGATTTTCCCTACCTTACTCTCCGACTAAACCATCATCACTGTGCCAGTAAATGGGGCGAAATCTCTTTCGCCCCATTTAAAAACCAGGTCTTCATTAAAAAAAAAAAAAAAAGTTTTGGCTTGGCATAAACATTAAGCCATCTGCCCTCAAACACATAGTTATCCCCCTAAAGTCTAACCCTAGCTTTAACCCTGTACAGCTCATTCAGATGGGCAAACATGTCTGAACAGCATGCGCGCCTGTAAAAAGACCCGATCCTGGAATGGACAGGAGCTTTGTGTAAATGCACGCAGCAGCCTGTTCTTCCCTATGGGAGGACATGGCTGCATGCAATTACAAGCAGTCACACACAAACCCGTGTGCCCAATTACAGGCAGCGCCTGTCCCTTCCAGGATCGGGTCTTTTTACGGGCTTGCCTCTCTGAATGAGCCCGTAAACTAAACCTTCTCCTCCCTGATCCCAATCCTAACCTCTGTAATAATCCCTAATACAAAATAACCTCTTTTGCATATTCACCTTGACCTACTCTGAGACCCTACAGTGACAAAACTCTAAACTACTGCTGCGATACTTGGAGTGGCCATTCGAACAACAAATAAGGCTAATGTTGTCTAACTTTTGGATATTACAGATGCTCAGAAACAACCACTGTAACTGAAACCCAACCCAATTAAGGAAGAACCAAGCCATCCATCTCACTGGACTCAGATCCATTATTTAAGAAACTAAATGTAACACTGCAGGTTAAAAAGAAAATCACGCTCTTTTTATTGGACCTTCCTTGGGAAATATGTTTGAGATAAATTAGATTACATAAGGTTCAAGTGTCATCAAGCTTTTTAGTGATGATAAAAAATAAATTATCTCCAGTGGAAAATGACAAAAAGTGGTCACACCTGTTCATTTCCAAACTAAATTTAGAATCTTTTTATGAACATCCAAAATGTACAAAACAATTCGGTCTATTAAAAAAAAAAAACAGTATAACGTAAAACTGTATTTGATGTCTGTGGTTCCTTCTAAAGAAAGGAGTTTTTTCATAGCATGTCCCAAGGGCCCAAGCATGACTTCGATGTCACTTCACACCATAGTGCTTTTTTTTCTTTACGTCCTCCGTGTCTTTTGTCTTTTCTGAAGTCTCTTTGCGTCCTCTGGATTGCCAGTGTCAGCTACTGTCTGTCCAAGTGCACGCACACCTTGCAGACGGCTTGTCAGGTGCAGCAGCAGGGGCATCAACTGACAAAAGGAGAGAAAATAATGACTCAATAAGACTGTAAAACAAAATCTCCCCTACTAATGTGAAGTCTATAGTATATACGTATACGCACACACACACACACACACACACACACACACACACACACACACAAAGTGGCATTACAGTTTCTCATCTGATAGTCAATAGCAGAGAAGCTATTTGGAAAAAGAGGTGTTTAAAGACAAATTTTGTTGCAGAATTGTCTCAAAAATGTGACCAAATCAACAATTTACTTCAACATGGGTGAAATCTTATGTACCACTGATGTCCACTTTCCTTATCTCTGATATGGCGTTATTTCTTTATGAATTTGTTGCAACAATAGTGCCATACAGTAACAGTGTTGCAAATAAGAACTACTTTAACCACTTGACGTCCACCCGTTGTATATAAACGGACAGACTTTGGTGGTTTTTTTTGTTCCTGCTTATGCACGCAAGCACAATAAAAAATGTAAACGGCTGTTACATACAATCGTTCGGGCAGCTGTAGAGCCACCCGATCGCTTGTATAGGGATGTGATTGTGCGGGGACCCCCCTCCTATCCTGGGCTCTGCTGCCCGGGCCCAGCACAGCAGCTTTCTGCACTGAGATTGGAGGGACATTAGCTTCTCAAAACACTACGAGACTACCAGAGAACTCTGACCTGCTTAGCTGTTTATGGTGTAATGCACCTATCATGATCACCAAAGTCATGCATTTTGTTTACTATTTGAAAACAAAGGATTACCAAAGGCATTTTTATCAGGTAAACTCAAAACAGGTGTACATATTTTTGATGACCCAAATTACAGTGAATCATAACCCATTAAAAATATTTTATGTATCCCTCTAGAGTCCTGAACAAAGTAACAGTGATGGTTACCTTATCATGATTGTACCCAGCTAACAGCAGAAGTAAAGTCAATGGAAGTGCAAGATAGGAGCCTTGAACCACATCCTGTTCAGGTAACTTTCTCTGTAAACATAAATCAAATATATAATCATTATAAATACTCACATTATATATTTTCAGTAGCATGCAAACAGTATAATTAAGGCACATAAAAAGTATAAAGATGATCACACAACTTCCTGGTTGGGTTTTACAACCTCCTGTTATACCTCAATTTATTCACTGTCTGTACAGTGAGCAAGCTGAAAGTGGAGAAAGCACAGGAAGCTGTGAACTCAGATGCTAGCACCAGTCCAAAGGAGGGATGCGCCGATACCGGTTTATCGGTATAGAGTAGGGCTGCAACAACTAAATCGATTATTGAAAGTTGTCAACGTTTTCAGTCATCGATTAATCGGCTTTCAATTAGTTGGCCCTGTTCACGGCTCCACACACGCTGCACGCCACACCTCCTCCCCCACCTCACGCTTGCCGCTGCCAGACCCGCCCGCATCCACACGCCGCACCTCCTCCGCCTACATCCACAATCAACACAGGGACGTGGGGAGAAGAAGAAATAAGGAGGAGTAGGTGTGGGGGAACGACAGCCGCCGATGGACAAGCCCGATCTCAGAAGCAAGTTGCTGGAAGACTGCTCAGGTAAGTCTGCACTTTCCCACACATGGTGCTCTGTAATGTATTGCTGGGATTTGTATTCCTCTATAGCTGATGGTACATTGTGCTGTATATTATACCAGTATCAATATCTATATTTCAGTACTATAGATATGGGTACAGCACAATGTACCATCAGCTATAGAGGAATACAAATCCCAACAATACATTATACACTGCATGTATAATGTATTGCTGTGGATTTGTTGTATTTCTCTATAGCTGGTGGTATTTTGCATTGTGCTGTATACAGGACTACAAATCCCAGCAATAATACATTATACAGCGCAATGCGGAATACCACCAGCAATAGAGGACTACAAACCCCAGCAATAATATATTATACAGTGGTGCAATGCAGAATACCACTAGCTATAGAGGACTACAAAACCCAGCAATAGTACATTATACAGCAATGCAGAATACCGCCAGCTATAATGTACTATTGCTGGGATTTGTGGTATTTCTCTATAGCTGGTGGTATTCTGCATTGCGCTGTATAATGTATTATCGCTGGGATTTGTAGTCCTCTATAGCTGGTGGTATTCTGCATTGCGCTGTATAATGTACTATTGCTGGGATTTGTAGTGCTCTATAGCCAGTGCCATTCTGCATTCATTGCTGTAAAATTTTACACTTTCCATTTCACTATATTGCACACCACACTTTTTTTTTTTACTTCCACCACTCCAAGCTTGCTCCTGTGATTGACTACAATCTCAATACAAAACTAGAAGTCCCATCACTGGAGCCATTTAAAAACAAAAAAAAATGTTTTAATCCGATTAACCGAACTTAATAATCGGCTAACTAATCGATTTTGAAAATAATCATTAGCTGCAGCTCTAGTATAGAGTACGAGTACCAATATCTATATTTCAGTACTTGCCGATACCGGTACTTCCGCTAGCATGGAGCCGGCTTCCTGGGTAATCAGGAAGCCGGGTTATTACCCACTGCCTGGCTACCTGATTGGCCGGGATAACAACCACTGTAACTGAAACCCAACCCAATTAAGGAAGAACCAAGCCATCCATCTCACTGGACTCAGATCCATTATTTAAGAAACTAAATGTAACACTGCAGGTTAAAAAGAAAATCACGCTCTTTTTATTGGACCTTCCTTGGGAAATATGTTTGAGATAAATTAGATTACATAAGGTTCAAGTGTCATCAAGCTTTTTAGTGATGATAAAAAATAAATTATCTCCAGTGGAAAATGACAAAAAGTGGTCACACCTGTTCATTTCCAAACTAAATTTAGAATCTTTTTATGAACATCCAAAATGTACAAAACAATTCGGTCTATTAAAAAAAAAAAACAGTATAACGTAAAACTGTATTTGATGTCTGTGGTTCCTTCTAAAGAAAGGAGTTTTTTCATAGCATGTCCCAAGGGCCCAAGCATGACTTCGATGTCACTTCACACCATAGTGCTTTTTTTTCTTTACGTCCTCCGTGTCTTTTGTCTTTTCTGAAGTCTCTTTGCGTCCTCTGGATTGCCAGTGTCAGCTACTGTCTGTCCAAGTGCACGCACACCTTGCAGACGGCTTGTCAGGTGCAGCAGCAGGGGCATCAACTGACAAAAGGAGAGAAAATAATGACTCAATAAGACTGTAAAACAAAATCTCCCCTACTAATGTGAAGTCTATAGTATATACGTATACGCACACACACACACACACACACACACACACACACACACACACACAAAGTGGCATTACAGTTTCTCATCTGATAGTCAATAGCAGAGAAGCTATTTGGAAAAAGAGGTGTTTAAAGACAAATTTTGTTGCAGAATTGTCTCAAAAATGTGACCAAATCAACAATTTACTTCAACATGGGTGAAATCTTATGTACCACTGATGTCCACTTTCCTTATCTCTGATATGGCGTTATTTCTTTATGAATTTGTTGCAACAATAGTGCCATACAGTAACAGTGTTGCAAATAAGAACTACTTTAACCACTTGACGTCCACCCGTTGTATATAAACGGACAGACTTTGGTGGTTTTTTTTGTTCCTGCTTATGCACGCAAGCACAATAAAAAATGTAAACGGCTGTTACATACAATCGTTCGGGCAGCTGTAGAGCCACCCGATCGCTTGTATAGGGATGTGATTGTGCGGGGACCCCCCTCCTATCCTGGGCTCTGCTGCCCGGGCCCAGCACAGCAGCTTTCTGCACTGAGATTGGAGGGACATTAGCTTCTCAAAACACTACGAGACTACCAGAGAACTCTGACCTGCTTAGCTGTTTATGGTGTAATGCACCTATCATGATCACCAAAGTCATGCATTTTGTTTACTATTTGAAAACAAAGGATTACCAAAGGCATTTTTATCAGGTAAACTCAAAACAGGTGTACATATTTTTGATGACCCAAATTACAGTGAATCATAACCCATTAAAAATATTTTATGTATCCCTCTAGAGTCCTGAACAAAGTAACAGTGATGGTTACCTTATCATGATTGTACCCAGCTAACAGCAGAAGTAAAGTCAATGGAAGTGCAAGATAGGAGCCTTGAACCACATCCTGTTCAGGTAACTTTCTCTGTAAACATAAATCAAATATATAATCATTATAAATACTCACATTATATATTTTCAGTAGCATGCAAACAGTATAATTAAGGCACATAAAAAGTATAAAGATGATCACACAACTTCCTGGTTGGGTTTTACAACCTCCTGTTATACCTCAATTTATTCACTGTCTGTACAGTGAGCAAGCTGAAAGTGGAGAAAGCACAGGAAGCTGTGAACTCAGATGCTAGCACCAGTCCAAAGGAGGGATGCGCCGATACCGGTTTATCGGTATAGAGTAGGGCTGCAACAACTAAATCGATTATTGAAAGTTGTCAACGTTTTCAGTCATCGATTAATCGGCTTTCAATTAGTTGGCCCTGTTCACGGCTCCACACACGCTGCACGCCACACCTCCTCCCCCACCTCACGCTTGCCGCTGCCAGACCCGCCCGCATCCACACGCCGCACCTCCTCCGCCTACATCCACAATCAACACAGGGACGTGGGGAGAAGAAGAAATAAGGAGGAGTAGGTGTGGGGGAACGACAGCCGCCGATGGACAAGCCCGATCTCAGAAGCAAGTTGCTGGAAGACTGCTCAGGTAAGTCTGCACTTTCCCACACATGGTGCTCTGTAATGTATTGCTGGGATTTGTATTCCTCTATAGCTGATGGTACATTGTGCTGTATATTATACCAGTATCAATATCTATATTTCAGTACTATAGATATGGGTACAGCACAATGTGCCATCAGCTATAGAGGAATACAAATCCCAACAATACATTATACACTGCATGTATAATGTATTGCTGTGGATTTGTTGTATTTCTCTATAGCTGGTGGTATTTTGCATTGTGCTGTATACAGGACTACAAATCCCAGCAATAATACATTATACAGCGCAATGCGGAATACCACCAGCAATAGAGGACTACAAACCCCAGCAATAATATATTATACAGTGGTGCAATGCAGAATACCACTAGCTATAGAGGACTACAAAACCCAGCAATAGTACATTATACAGCAATGCAGAATACCGCCAGCTATAATGTACTATTGCTGGGATTTGTGGTATTTCTCTATAGCTGGTGGTATTCTGCATTGCGCTGTATAATGTATTATCGCTGGGATTTGTAGTCCTCTATAGCTGGTGGTATTCTGCATTGCGCTGTATAATGTACTATTGCTGGGATTTGTAGTGCTCTATAGCCAGTGCCATTCTGCATTCATTGCTGTAAAATTTTACACTTTCCATTTCACTATATTGCACACCACACTTTTTTTTTTTACTTCCACCACTCCAAGCTTGCTCCTGTGATTGACTACAATCTCAATACAAAACTAGAAGTCCCATCACTGGAGCCATTTAAAAACAAAAAAAAATGTTTTAATCCGATTAACCGAACTTAATAATCGGCTAACTAATCGATTTTGAAAATAATCATTAGCTGCAGCTCTAGTATAGAGTACGAGTACCAATATCTATATTTCAGTACTTGCCGATACCGGTACTTCCGCTAGCATGGAGCCGGCTTCCTGGGTAATCAGGAAGCCGGGTTATTACCCACTGCCTGGCTACCTGATTGGCCGGGAAGCTGGCCCCATGCTGTTCGACTGGCTCGATGCCGATTGGCCGGTAAGCCGGCTTCCCAGCCAATCAGTATGAAGTCGGCTTCTCAGCATCGAGCCGGCCAAACATGGAGCTGCCTTCCCGGGCCCATCAGGAAGCTGGGTGGCGGGTAATGGCCATGCTGATTGGCTGGGAAGCTGGCTCCATGTTCCCTTGCGGAACTGCCAGTCAGGGGAAATCTCCCTCTGACAGGAAGTTGTAATATCTGGTGTAGATATTGCAGCAAATACTAGTATCGGTACATCCCTAGTC